TCTGCGTACACACTACCCTCCCCACACCCCATTAGTGGGATTTTACTGGGTTGTTGTTGTTGTTGTGTTGTTGATATGAAATTAATACTAATGACTAGTGATAAAAAGTTTTTAAGAATAGATCCATATATGATAGTCAGCAATCGCACTGGCTATCATTTGAGTATGGAACAAAATGACTAAATAAAACAAGACAATCCCCTAAAAGCTATAGTGTTGGAAACAAAGATGGTGCAGCAATATTACATTTTTAGTAGCTTTCCCAGCTATTGGCAGCATATCACATCGGAAAAACATGACAATTCATCAAGTTTTCAGCTTAGAGGGGTCTCATTCAGACCTTACATGTAGGAGCAATTTACAAGATTGGAAGATAGATGTATTCCAGAAACTGATGGAGTTACTGTACGAGCAAAATATCACACGTTTGGAGAATGAACTAGGAGATGGAACGGAAGAGGCAGGGGATTGTTTTCGGTAAAAATCTACTACTATAGATTACTTAGAAGATAGGGCACAGGCTTGCCACACCTTTCAGTTTGGATTTCCAGAGTGCCGAGAAAGATATGCTTTTCTCGTGGCTGGCAGAAGAGGGTGCTATTTCTAACAATTGAAAATTTGAGGAAAGGAAGTTAACTTATTGTGTGCAAACAGTTGGACGAAGACGTGAGTCACTTTTGTCGGACTAAAAAGTTTATTGTTTCATCTTCAAAACTTGGGGATAATGGTTATGCTCCTCTGCCCTTCTCCACTTAAATACTAGACTTGGTTCAACAGCTAGGTGTCAACCTCGTGACATACACCAACCACATCCCGCATTGTTCTAACATTGTCGTTGCATCAAAACTCCAGGGGGACACGGATACAAAAATACTTAGTGGTGCATTACCTGGTAGCAAGCCAATTGCAGTGAAGGGTGCTAAATTTGTTTGGAGTCCAGTGGTCAATACCGACTACAGTTAAGGACGTGATGCACAGCTAGTTTAGGAGGAGGAGAAGATGCCGGACATGGGACATGGAGGGCATTTGTTGATGAGGGAAATGACCGATAGGAGAGCACTTCATAGGAGGGCTTTTGTTGATGAGGGCAATGACCGATAGGAGAGCATTTCAAAGAATGGAAAATGATTTTTTAAAGTCTGATGCTTGCCTTTTGCTTTTGGTGAATCTTTTGTGCACACAAAAAATTACCTATTAGTGTAGATGATTTGGTGTCATTTATAGCGACCAAATCATTTTTCTTGGTGAAGGTCCTCTAGCTTTCGGATATCGCTTGTTTACTTAGGATTCAGATAGCATAAACGAAATAATTACTTTAAAAAAGATCCCCTAAAAGATATGCAAGTCCTTTTCAGGCATTCATAGGGGGGAAATAAGTCGCAGCAAGAAAATAACAAACAAACCTGAAGCGTACCGCGAGGAATAGAGACAGCTGCCCGTGTATTTGTAGAAAAATATCCTCCTTCCTGTAAGAATTTGAGTGACCTGACAACCTAGAATACAAACAAATAAAAAAAAGGATCAACTGTTTCTTGATTTTAAATAACAGAAAAGGTGAGCCTGAACATAAATGTGGTTAAAAGCATTGGAAAGAAACAAGAACCAGAAAATCTGATGTCACTAAAATGACACCAACATGACTCATAAGTACGGCTTGAGAGTTCGGAATGCAACATATAAATTCAGTGTGAACTCCTAACCAATCTATTGTCCCGTTTTTCTAAGAAAAAAAAATCCTTGACTCTCAGCAGAAGCAATTACTCAAACACAACCAAAAAACTTTATCTGGTAGTTGTTGGAATATGGGATAGACCTTATATAATAGGGGAGGGGAAGAAGCGAAACAGGAAGTTGCATGAAGAAACTTCAGACTTCAAATCTCCCTCATTTACCAAACTATTTTTAAGGATAATGCATGAACAATACAGGGGAAGCACAGAAAAATTTAGACTAGAGAGGTATTTCAGGAGTAAAAGAATTTGATTCCTTTATAACATACAGAATATAAAACCAGGAGTCAAGTGATGAAGATACTGACTCATCACCATTCTGAATGGAAGTATCAAAATCAGAAATGAAACAAAGAAACAGCTCAACTCCCAGTTCCCCCAATAATGATAAAAATAATATATAAAAATCAAGAAAACTCGAAATAGCAAGCAGCATAAAAACAAGGTGCAAACAGCCAATAGCAGAGAAGGATAATGTTCTCGTCTCTTTGCCCACTCAAGGTTTTAATATCTCTCAGGATAACAGTTTTGTTAGGAAACATGATTTGGGCTGACACTTCATATCACTCTGTCCACAAAATTTTTCTCAGAGTCAACTTTATACTTCAGTAAAATTTAAGATTTTTAGAGCTTCAAGTGAAAAACAACAATAATTGCAACAATTAGGAAATAGAATAACATAATAAAGGTCTTTTAACAAATAGGACAACAGAGAACATGTACTAACTCGTTCTAAAGGCAAGAAAAAAGCAGATGCACTTGATAACTTGCTCCCAGCGTTCAAGGCAACAGCTCTTCCTTGCCAATCAATTACAGGCGAGCCACTTGAACCACCTTTAGTCCCCGAAGCAGCCTGGAAGAAAAGAACACAGAAGTTGAACAACAAAAGTAGTCATTGGAAGTAGCAGAGAAAAACATACCAAGCTACTACTATAAGAACAAGAATCAGAAGTTAAACCTCAGAATTGGAGAACATAAAAGAGTATCAAGTTAAAACAAAAAATTACTTTGACTCATTCACGACATTTCTTAGCACTTATGGAAGAACCATATTGATAAAAACAGTCCTATTTACTAAACCAAGAGCAAGGACACAAACTTGGAAGTCATAAGCTAATTGAGGGAGCAGCACAATAAAACACAGCAGAGCAGTAATAGCTCCCATTAGCATATATTCATCTTCTCCGTCTTTTACCAGCAGATGCATGCCAAAAGGGCTCAAAGAGTTAAAATTATCTCTGGTAGTGCTCTTTCTTGAAAATTAAAAAACAAAGTGACCATCTCCCTTTTTGTTTCAAAACACATACTCCCTCCTCCATTTTGAATTTTATTTAAAGTTTTGGTACACTGATTAAAAACCATTTAATAGCAATAATTATAAGAGTTATTTGACTATATTACCCTTATATCTCCTCAAAATGAGAAATAACTGTCGAAAGACTTTTTTAGAAAAATGTATAGACCTATTAATTGGAGCAAGCGTAGATTGGGAAAAAAATAATTGACGACACTTATTATGGACCAAATTTGTTTGGCTAAAACGACATTTAAAAAGGATCAGAGGTAGTATTATCTACTAAATTCATATCTAGTCAACTAGCAAAAATCCTCCAGTGCTACTGCCAAATAACAAGAGAGTAACATCATTATGCTTACTTGCATGTAGAACGTGTTGAAGTCATTGTAGCCATCTCTGCACCAAAACTGGAGATGTTATCAAAATGCATACATAGTGGCCCCAAAAACTAGCAAAATTATTCTCCAATAGAGAAGAACTGCAGAACTTCATTTAGGAAAAAAAAAGGTTCTCCATAATTACAGGGAAACCAGGTACATCTAGTGTATGCAGAGGACAAGTTAGTAGTTCAGTTGGTTAATTTCAACGGGACTTCTCCATCCAAACGCCTCAGCCTACTCATTGTACTGGAAAAACTTTAAAGTCCTTGGCATGCACTAGCAAAGAATTTTTTCGATAAGATAAGATTATTAATGAGAAATAGCACCAAGTAGATGCATATACGAACAACAAAAACTCAGCCCCTTTATAATCTCATGCAGCTGAAAAAATCTAAAAGACCATCTGTGTCATAAATTTAGCAATTTACATTAAAAGGCCAACAGATACAAACATTTATACTTAAGCTTATGGACAGGTTCTGCTTTTTGTTAGAAACATCTTTGGTTCCTCTCCAACCAAATCACCTAAAATACACAGAGTGGGATGGGTAGACAATAATTTCTTCATCTCTTTGTCCAGCTTATCCATTCCAACACCACCAACAGCTCCTTCACTGACTTGACATCACCCAGTTCTTTCGAACTATGTACAAGAACATCACTCAGATCTACCTAGTCAACCGGCAGTTTAGCAAAAGATGATTCACCTATTCTGTTTCTCTCTAGCACATAAAGCATATGCTGAAGCTCATTTCTTGTAAATTTGACTAGGTAAGACAAGCACCATGAGATTCAATCCTACAGACAATCTATTTACACTCCTCCAGAACAAGCTACTTACGCGAAGCATTACTCTTCCAAATCGACTTCCATGGATGTAGTACCAGAAGAGAGACAGTGGTAGGCACACTTGACCAAAAATACCCCGTTATTTAGATGCTTCCATTTTAAAAAATCCACTAAACTGATATGAGGCAGCATTAAATCTATGGGACAGATTTAGAACCAAAAATATTTCAGGGATGGAAAGACTAAAGTTAACAGAAGTCTACAGCTGATGGGTAGCACATCGCAAAGTCCATTCAGATGCAGAAGATCCTATATTGCTATTGAGACACACCACAAAGCACATAAAGCAGGTTTTATACATTCTTTTGGTTCCACAATTACAAAGCAAAGGCATTTCAAAAGACTGTTAAACACTGGTAATATTCTTGCAGGCTCCACTATCATTTAGTCAAATACATTCAACAACTAAGATCAATGAAAGAGTATTCCATCATATTCTACTTATCCCCAATTAAAAAAAAAACCATTCTAGCATCACAACTTACTCGAGAGTCATGAAAGAATATTTTGAGTGATAGGTTACATACTTTTTATACTGCGGAGCATCTCTATCTAATCGAGCAAGGGTACCGGCCAAAATAGACACCTGAATAATTCAGAATAAAGTCAAAAAGAATAAGGATCTAGAAATTCTAAAGCAAATATCACTAGAAAATTTGAAGAGGACGCAAGGGAAGGGTTGATAGAACATAAAAATAAAAGTCATGTAAAACAACTAATTTGAGACAGCAACTTCACTAGACAAGTTGTAGGCTAAGACATTATTTCAGCCCCATGAATATATCAGATATGATTAGAAGCAAAAATAACAGTAATTCATCAGTAACATAACAATAGAAAAAGATACCTCAATAATATTCACATGGTAATTCAAACAATAACAATAACAATAGCAAGGGATACTTCAGTTATATTCACATGGCAATTCAAAGACTTATTAAATGCAATTCCACTGATTGACTTTAAGAAGCAAATAATTCAAATTGAACATTCCCAATGCACGCAGAACCACCTTATGCTCACAAAAAGGGTGGAAAGGCCTTGAAGCAACCACTGACCAAGTAAATACAAAGAGCACCTCTTTTAATAATTGGAAAAATTCATCTATTCTCTTTCAAGGTGTTTGTGAGGCAACAGAATTCTTAACCCTTAAGAACACAACTCTTCAAATGATTATGTGAGGCCTCAAAACCACTCTAGAAGAATAGAAAGCAAAGGATCTAAAACCCTAACTTTGTATTCAAGAAGTATCCCATGCATGTTCACCTCTACTCACGTGCAGGATGGGGATATTCAGTCATGGTTAGTTGAGACCAACAGTCGTGAAAGTTAGGGGAATATTTCATCTTGTCTTCAGTGATTTGATCACGATGACACAAGATCTCTTTTATCATCTAGAATTAAATGCATTAACGCATTATGCGCTACATCAATAAAATAGACATGTTGCGTGCAGCATAGTGAATGAATTGCATGCCCTAGCATTCTCCTTATAGCTCTGGGAACAGACGCCGATAAATTGGATACTAACAAAAATAAAACTGAAGCAGCTCTCAATGCAACTTCTTTAGTTCAATCAACAAAAACTATCTACTTGAAAAGTAAAGACTATTCACTTGAAGCCTACCCATGCCTGTAAACATGGAAACCAATTTGTATGCCCAATAACGCCTGACCATAGTTTTATTTTTCGAGTTGGGATTGGACAATCCCAACAACCATATTCCTTTTGACTCAATGACAAGCACCAAAAAGCAATTTAAAGAAAAGTCAAAAAGAAAATTGCCAGCAAGATATTTAATGTCAACGAATAACAAGAATTCCGAGTTTCCACAACAAATAAGTTAAAAAGGTGAACAACATACAACTTTTTTGATAAGTTAACAACATAAAACTTGAGTCAAAGAATGACTAGGCACACAAACATTAGAAACATTTTATGGCAGAATATACATTAAGAGGTTAAAGTAACCACAACTAGAATTGTTTTGAATTATATCAGGCCTCCACTTACTTGACATTTATGATGTATATATATGTATGTGTATGTGTGCATGTTGGACAGCTGTGATGCCCTTATCCAACAGAAAGTTTTGAGTGATATCGTGCCTCCGCTAAAAGTTTACTTGACATTTATGTATACATATATGAGTGCGCATGCAAGGAAACCCATTTACAAACTCTTGGAATTGCTATAAAGATTTGATTTGCTATCCTTTTGAATTAAAGGAAACAATTAGCATGAACTGACAGAAGATGATCAACTAAATAGGATATTAAGTAAAGATGTCCAATCCAAGACCATACCTTCTCGCCGCTGTCATTACCAACAACCCTGATTTCTACACCTACAGCGGCAGCATCAGGAGCAAGAGGAATCTCTTCATAGCTCAAGAATTGTATTGCACCAGGGTCGTAGCGAAAGAAGCCAAAATCATGAACCTAGAAAATGAACATCAATAGCTGTTTGTGATCAAACAATTAAATGAAGAATATGACGTTCAAACATTCTTTGGAAACTATCATCATCCTTATATAAACCTGCAAAGAGCAACATGCTGAAGCAAAAAGAAAAATATCATTTCAAGCAAACATGGAATTCTTGGGCATATGCATCATAGGAAGTTATCCAACTGGTTTTTTCAGTTTCACATGTCGCTGGAAGGCTTTCCATCAGTAGCAAGATAATCATATTAGATATCACAAGCCAGGGTAAAACCCTACTGTACATGGACTCTCACCTTACCTAGTTTGACACATACCAAGGCATAATATCGTACACAATCTATATACAATAACAACAACAACAACAAAAAAAAAAAAAAAAAAAAAAAAAAAAAAACCAGTGTAATCCCACAAGTGGGGTCTGGGGAGGGTAATGTGTACGCAGACCTTAGCCCTACCTTGTGAAGGTAGAGAGATTGCTTCCGATAGACCCTCGTCTCAAAGAACGGTGAAAAGGAAGGAACCGAAAATAACAAGAAAAACAAAGAAACGAGTAATAACAAAGATCTAGAAATAAGAAATACAAAAATAGTACTAATACTACTGGTAAGAATGATACAACGTGTAATAACAAAGATCTAGGAACAAGAAAATATAAGAATATTACTAATACTACTAGTAAGGCTAGGAGAAACTTTCGACAACCTATCAACCTTCAACCCTAATTCTCGACCTACACACCTTCCTATCAGTGGCGTACGCATTTATTTTTGCAAGCGGTGTCACATTTAAATAGATGAACACATAAACAAATCGTTAGAAGAAGATCGTATAAATAAAAAGTAATTTAAATGCCTTATTGTAATTATCATTAACTTTCAAAAAGAAAAAAGGGGGAAAATATTTCAATTTCAAAAAAAAGAAAAAGAAAGCAATAAATAAATACATAAATAAATAAAGCTAAACCTTCGCCACAAGCAGGTAAAGATGGCAGTACTAGCAAGATTGATATATTGAGTATTTTGCTAGAAGGAAAAAAATAAATCCCAATTCCACGGCTGGGAGAATCGATATTGTCACCTCTCTGATAAATTGTAGCGTCTTTCCCGCTGCACCAGAGTAATGTCTTCAACAAGTGGTGTCATACATTTAGTTTTATACTGTTTTTATTGTTCACATCATTTTTATACATATAATTTGTTGAATTTTAAGCGGTGTCACATGACACCGCTTCACCCTATATAAATCTGCCCCTGCTTCCTATCGAGGGTCATGTCCTCGGTAAGCTGAAACAATGTCATGTTCTGCCTAATCACCTCTCCCCAGTACTTCTTTGGCCTACCTCTACCCTTCCTCAGACCCATCAACCCCTCACACCTCCTAATCGGGACATTTATGTATCTCCACATCACATGCCCGAATCATCTCACCCTCGATTCCCGCAATTTGTCTTCCACAGGGGGTCACTCCCACCTTGTCTCTAATAACTTCATTCTTACTCTTATCTTTACTGGTATGCCCACACATTCATCTCAACATCCTCATCTCTGCTACTTTCATCTTCTGGAAATGGGACTTCTTGACTAGCCAACACTCAACATCATACAACATAGTCGGTCTAACTACCACTCTGTAGAACTTGCCCTTAAGTCTTGGTGGCACATTCTTATCACACAAAACACCATATGTGAACCTCCATTTCATTCACCCCGCTCCAATACGATGTGTAACATCCCCGTCAATCTCCCCGTTGAACAAACCCAAGATATTTGAAGCTATCTCTCTTGGGGATGACTTGTGTGTCAAGCTTCACGTCCACTTCTGCTTCATGTGTCCCATCACTGAACTTGCAGTCCAAATATTTTGTTTTCTTTCTACTCACTTGAAACCTTTAGACTCCAGGGTCTGTCTCCAAACCTCCAGCCTAGCGTTAACCCCGCAGCGCATCTCATCAATCAGCATTATGTCATCTGCAAATAACATATACCATGGCACCTCCCCTTGGATGTGTCGTGTCAGCACATCCATCGCTAGAGCAAATAAAAATAAGCTAAGAGCTGATCTCTGATGTAACCCATCACTGGAAAAATGTTCTGAGTCTCCTCCCACAGTCCTCGCACGAGTTTTAGCACCCTAGTGTACGCTACTAGAATATCGCTAACCTCCAAACTTCTCCATAGAACCTCCATCGAGACTATGTCGTAGGCTTTATCTAGGTCAATGAACACCATATGCAAGTCATTTTTCCTCTCCCTATACTACTCAACCAATCTCCTTACAAGATGAATGGCTTCTGTAGTCGACCGCCCCGGCATGAATCCGAACTGGTTCTCAGAAATAGTCACACTTCTCCATACCCTCTTCTCCACCACCCTATCCCAAACTTTCATAGTGTGACTCAGCAGCTTGATACCCCTATAGTTGTTGCAATTCTGGACATCACCTTTATCCTTGTACAACGGAACCAACAAACTCCACCTTCATTCATAGGGCATCTTCTTCGTCCTAAAAATGACATCAAACAATCCAATAAACCACTCCAAGCCTGCCCGGCCCGCATCCTTCAAAATTTCCACCGAGATCTCGTCTGGCCAGTTGCTTTACCCCTGCTCATCTTCCGCATCACCCCTTCAACCTCCTCAACCTTAATAAGCCTACAAAATCGAAAATCTCACTGGCTCTTTGAGTTCTCCAACTCACCAAGTACGATGTTCATGTCTCATCCTCGTTCAAGAGTTTATGGAAGTATGTCTGCTACCTACGCCTAATACACGCCTCTTCCACCAATACCTTGCCTTCTTCGTCTTTGATGCACCTCCCTTGATCAGGGTCCCGAGCCTTCCTCTCACTAACCTGGGCTAACCTATACAGTCTCTTGTCACTGTCTTCGCCCCCAAGTTCCTCATACAAGCATCCAAACGCTGCAGTCTTAGTCGATGTGATCGCTAATTTCGCCTTTCTTAGCCTTCTTATAACACTCCCTATTCGTCCTTTTCTTTTCCTCGACCGCGCTCTCTACTAGCTTCAAATATGCTGCTTTCTTGGCTTTCACTTTTCCTGGGACCTCTTCATTCTATCACCAGTCCCTTTTGTGGCCTCCTGAGTATCCATTTGTGCCCCCTAACACCTCTCTAGCAACTTTCCTAATGCAGTTCGTTGTCGTGGTCCACATACTACTCGCGTCCCCACAACTCCTCCAGCCCCCCATAGCCACCAATTTCTTCCCAACTCATGAGCTTTGTCTTTAGTCAAAACTTTCCACTTGATCTTAGGTTAACCGTATACCGCTCTCATCTCCTTCTCTCTCAATCTCCAAGTCCATTACTAAGAGCCTATGTTGTGTCGATAGACACTCAGTCGGGATAACCTTGCAAACAATGCACATGCTTTTATCACACTTCCTACGGAAAAGGTAATCAATCTGAGTCTTGGCCACCGTACTCCGGAAAGTGACTTAAGTGTTCCTCCCTCTTCTGATAACACGTGTTAGCCATCACAAATTGAAAGCTTTAGCAAAGTCCAACAACGAAGTTCCTTCCTCGTTCCTACCTCCAAAACCGAACCCGCCACACACATCGTCATAGCCCCTAGCAGTCTTCCCAATATGTCCATTAAAATCACCTCCTATGAATAGCTTCTCGGTAAGCGAAACACCTCGCACCACCTCGTCCAAATTCTCCCATAAGTGCCTTTTGACCTCCTCATCCAAGCCCGCTTGAGAGGCGTATGCACTAATCACGTTTGAAGTGAACCACCAACCACTCGCTTAATAGTGATTAGCCTATCGTTCGCTCTCCTAACATACATCACTAGCTCATTGAGATCCCTATCAACTAAAATGCCTCCCATGTACTTGCCCCTAGCATCTCCTGAATACCACAATTTAAGCTCGTTAACTTCCTGCGCCTTAGTACCCACCCATCTAGTCTCCTGGACACACGTTATATTGATCTTCCTCTTCTGGACAATCTTCCCTAACTCTTTAGACTTACCTATCAATGTCCCTATATTCTAGGACCTAATTCTCAGCCTAGCGGTTCCCTTGCCGCCCCCCGTCTTACCCAAGGACATGACCTCACTCTACCATCACCCACCCCAGCCACAATAATCTACATATTCATCTAAATTGAGGAAACAACAACGAGGTAAAAAAGTCATTATTCACTTGATATTTGTCAGTTCCACAAAACTTAACTCATAAATTTACTTAAAAGATAACACAAAAGAAAAGACATTACAAAAAGAGAGCGGAAGAGACAATGAGAGAGAGAGAGAGAGAGACTTGAAGATGATGTTGAGTCCTACTCCGACAATGAAGGGGATGGGTGGTCTTCTTATATGGGCTTGGGCAATCCTCACCTCTTGAGCTAGCTTTTGGGGTTGAGTTAGGCCCAAAATCCATTTCACATGGTATCTAAGCAGAACCCATCCCAATCTTCCGATGTTGCGCCCCCATAATTGTCCACGCTCCAAACGTCCAGTCCTGGGCGTGGAAGGGGGTGTTGCGTCCCATATCAACAATAAAGGGGATGGGTGGACTCCTTATATAAACTTGGGCAATTCTCACCTCTTGAGCTAACTTTTGGGGTTGAGTTAAGGCCAAGGTACATTTAATAGATGAAATGTGTAAGTTTTATGATATATGTTCCTTCCCGAACATTTGTCTCCTTAATATTTGACTCAGATAACCCATCAACTTAAAGAAGCCACTTGACACAACGATCTAAGACATCTCTACAACTCTAACCCTCATTTACAAGAATCTTTCTAACATGAGAAGCATAGATTACGAGTCATGATTCTTCATGTATACATAACCTACTAACATCAATCTTTTTTAAATAACCGTGGTATCTGGGCCAGTTTGTGCAAATCTCAACTAATTCCACGGGGGTACCTGCTACCTTCCACCAGCACAACACCGAGTGACCCTGTTTACCAAGGCTTTGACAGATGTGAAGAAATTACGCGATATTTTTGATTCTGCTAGGATTTGAACCTGAGACCTCATGGTTCTCAACCCACTTCACTGACCACTAGGACACAACCTTGGGTGCAACCTACTAACATCAATATACTTTTCAAAACCCCTTATGCGCCAATCATAAGAAGCAACATGTGTTTTTCTCTTTGCATTTAACTTATATTTTAAGTTCTTTCAAGACATAATTTCCATCTTCACAACACTACACCAAGTTGAGCCACTTTTCTTTTCGAAAATCAAAATAATATCTATTTATGTGTGTAGTGCTCATGTTACAATAAATGAGCGTGGAATTCAGTCCTTCAAATTCCTGTAAAAGATCCAACGCATCTATGGCATTTATGTTACACCAAAAATATAAGCTTGTTATCATTTTAACTTTACAAAGATAATAAGCACTTATCCCCAAACATCTGTGGTTCCTCTCTTTCCAAGTTGTCCAAATATAAATAGTTGAATGTTTTTCCGCAGGGTCTTTGCCACTTTTTCATGTTCTGTTCACTTCAGCTCGCCACTGCATCTTTCATGTTCGATGTGAATCGAGGGTTATCGCTTCATAAGTAAAGCCATGTGCTTCATAAATGTGTGCGCGTTAAATAACGACGCACCAAGTGACCCAAAGAAAGTGGCCAGCTCTTTGAATCTCAACTTTGACGAGATGGATTATTATTGGCATTATTGTATATTAATAATGACATTAGTTATATTAGTTACTATTTGATCATAATAGTACTTAATTCATTTTTTTTTTGGGGGTAACTAAATTCATATATGTTTGGTATGTTAAATGTAGTGAATTGCTATGTTACTCGGACTCTCCAAAAGTGATCCCATACCCGTGTCGGATCCTCCAAAAATATACTAAATTTGGAGGATCCGACACGCACCCAACAATATTTTTGAAGAGTCCGAGTAACATAGGTGAATTGTACATTTCTCTTCAAAGAAGAATGTGTTTCACATCTCTTTTTTTTCCCTTCAAGCCCCATGGACCTCATTGCTTTTTTGCACTTTTCACTTAAAAAACCAATGTCATCCGTCCTTGATACTAACTAGACTGAGAAACTTACACTAGATTTGCCATATGAATCTGCAATGTAGTACTAGGCGCCGGATAGACCTTTTGTTTTAATATATATTGCATAGTTGCATACTCTTCTTCGAAGATTTCCATGCATGAGGCAGGTATCGTTGAGTGCTATCCAAACTAATCCAGCCATTTTTGTTGGCACAAAGGTTTTCCATAGCAGCTTCCATGACCACTGGGGATTTCCTTCTTGTGCTGCTTCCATTTATAGCTCGGTTTTACTTCAAAACCTCCATCCTTCTTAGCCATCCATTGCAGAGGTTGTGACTTTCTCCACTAACGCTGTACCTTCCAGTCTAGAAATAAGCGGACTCACACTCGCTGATTTCCAGTCCTGCAGGTTCCTTCTGAAGTGGAGTTTCTAGATACTTCCACTGAAGCAGTCTGCTATGATGTAGCCTTTTTTGTGAGAAAACCTGTCAAGATCTGATAAAGCTCCTTAAAAGGTCAGTTTTCAAGACACCACATCCTTGTTCTCCTCCATTCCCCACCCAAATTCTTACCATCACTTCAAATTCATTCCATCATTTCCTTATCTGTTTCCAGACTACCACCCATAAGATGTTGTGACCTCGGTGCACCATTAACTATCCATTTTTTACTTGATTATATCTTTCCACAATTCCTCTTTTTCAGTATCAATTCTCATAACCATTTTCTCTTGTTATACGTTCTTAAGTTCTCTACTCGCATTTGATAATTTAATCACATTTATCTTTATCCATCAGCATTGACTTCCCAAAGAAAATTGCATCTGTTTGTCCAATTGCTTCCAAAAAATTCACTGGAACAGGGATTAGGGGCATCATGTATGTGGGGATTCAACCTCACACACTATATATGAGTGACAACCTTCCTCGGAAAGAGAGATATGCCTGGTCGGAGTAGACCAAGTTAAGTTTTACATTGAACAACCTGATCAGAAAAAAGTTGTACATTGAACTAGAAATCCATTCCACAAAAAGAAAAATATAAATGCAGAACCTACATTTAAGTGCCAACAACACCCTGAAAGTCAAACAAATTCCTTAGTGTCATCGAACTGGAAAACACCTCAGATATTTCTCTCGCACAATAATGTGTTTTGTTCAGCAAACTGGAACTTCTAAGTTCAAGTGTTCAACAGACTATGGAATCCATGATAGAGGATTAGTCAACTAATCGATCAACTATATCTCAATCACAAACAAGATGAATCCTCTACATTCATTCTGCTCTATTCACCAAATTATTACTCCCTCCATTCCACTATATAAAATTATTACTACTATTTGGGGAGCCGAATAGCTTTTTCTTTGACCAAAACTTTTTCATTTTCTTTTAATATTTTTAATTATAAAAAATTGTAGTTTATAGTACTTTTTATCTAGTTTCTAGTTATGCAAATTTTAACTTATTTTTATTACGAAATTGATGTCCGAATTGAGACCAAAATAGAAGGTTTGACCCTCATACTACGAATCCCTTTAATCTTTTTTAGAAGGCCCACATGTCCCTATACTATCATAGAAGTCTCTAACCATACTCCTCGCAAACACTTTATTTTGGGGTAAAACCATACTCCTAGCAACACTCGGATCTAATACAAATGTAACAGCAACAAATAAGCTTAAACACAAGTAATAGATGTTATGTATATACAGAGGACTAGTGGACTAATAAAATGATGAATTGTTCATAGTCACACAAGACCCAAAAGGATGAGCAGATAATCCAGAGCTATTCATGCACAGCTAAGGCTGAAGTTAGCTTGAAAGGAAACTTCTCTAAGTAAAATGATAGATTTACCATACAACAAGCATTTGTTACATAGATAGCTACACAGGAAGCAAAGATTTTCTTAACCGATATTAAGAGTTAAAACCAAATGCACAAAGCAACAAAGAAAAAAAGCACAGAGGCCTGCTGGGGACTTAAGAGCAAAGCCGCAAAAAAGCGCGGGAATTAATAAAGAAAGCCTCAAATGTGGTGGAAAAAAAACTAGTATATATAAAATTCAAGAATAATTAATATAAACATAAATAACAATTATATGGATGAAGGAACTTAAAAGTATATACAATTAAGTGCAATATTTATTATTTAGTGTCGCCTCTTTATGACAATGCCCATAAGTGATAGGTGTATGTCTTAGCGCCTTGGTGATTGTACTGAAGCTGGTTAAGTGAGAAGCCCTCAGCTTGTTTTGCACCTAGCTTTAGGGCTTAAGTAACGCTCCTTAAAACGAGCCTTTTAACAAAAATGCTTCTTTGGAGAATTCATCAAATATCAAAAGTATACTCCGTTCATTGAGAAACAGTTCTATCTAATTGAGCATTGAAAAGGCATGTTAGTGCTCCTCTAATCGGTACAATCTATAAACATATATATGACAATGACACTTTCGTATTCACTAAAATCAAAAGATTCAAAACACATAAACTCACAGTCTACAACAGCCAATTTCAAGGCCTCAGGCAGACTCAACTAAGATGGAATTGTAGGGGATTACCCTGATCTTTCTCCCCCCTTGTGAACCTCCAGAGCTCACATCCATAAAAGATATACACAACCACTCCCGAGTCGCATCCTATACAATAGATCCTACACAATCAACTGTAACTTTGCTAATACATCGAACAAGTCAAACCTACCATCTTTAAGGCCAATTATAATTTCTAAGTATATCACTGGGCTCTTTTACGGTTATAACCCTTCAGTCAAGCTAAAAAGCCTACTCGTAATTCGACCTGTTCACAAAATTAATAAAATATGTCTAACATTGCTACTGATTCTAGTTTCAAGATTAAGTAATCCATTTGGCAGATCGACACAGCTCCATGGAACAGCCACAACCTTGAGAAGCTAAAAGTCCATAATTGATATCTATGAAATGCCACGTCATATCATAATAGCCTTAGTTCCAATAAGGTTCACTTTCGGTATGAGGCACTGAGAATGTGTCTAAGATTTCTCAATAGTGTACCCACGGCTTAGATTTCCCAAAAAATTTCCGTTTACCCCCTTTCATTAAGCACCTCTTCCTAGCTGTATCCCGTGAGTCAAATCTAATGTTCAGATAATACAGGTGGAGAACGAACTGTGCAACCAAAATAAATGCATAAACAGAATCCAACAGTCACATGACAGAGGATGTCTAAGTGAACTCACAGGGTCCCTGTATATGGGGTAAACTGGTATTTCTTCACGGTTCACAAACATAGCTTCTGCCATCACAGGTCCTACAAACAAATGAACAGTCATACATCCATCAAAATACAATAGTAAGAATTCCAAATTTCTCTCTTGGTTATCTAAACTCAAACTATATGATAAACAGAATGGTGTTTTTTCTTTTTGTTTTCTTTTTTTCATGGCGGTGGTGTCATGCCAGCTTGTGCGCACCTCGTTCCGCCGATTACCTGCTACCTCCCACCAGCATAGGTACCAGGTAACTCTGCCCCCCAAAACTTAGGCAGATGGGAAGAAATCATGTAGTGTCTTTTGCTTCCACTGAGAATGATGAGTTGTGTTAAGATGTACTCATTACCCTACTTTCTTAGTACCCATTTAGCACGTACAGTATCTGTATATACTGAAATTATTATTTGCAAATACTAGTTCAGACAAGATGTTTTGGATTTCAAGTGAAACATTGCTTGAACTTCGAGTGGAATACTGAAAGAGTTTTAAGTTTTATGCACATCAAATCACTTAAAGGTAATTCCCGGTAATCACTTAAAGGTAATTGCAAGTATCTCTATTTAATAAGCATGGATGGATAACCTAAAGTAAATGGTGAGTAACTTGTTGTAATATGCTAAATTAGACTGATGGTGTAAAATACTTTTGTATATAGCTTAAATCCATTGAAATTGTTGTTTGAAGTGCATTTCAAGTTCAAATCTTCAACTTTTATGAATTTTTTTTTCCAAGGGAAATTTCATGTCCAAACATAATTTCAACTTTCACAAACTTTAAGTGGAATATTGAAAAAGTTTTAGGTTTTATTACTGACATGTAAATGTACATCATCAGATCACTTAAAAAGTAATTGCAGATAACTCTATCTAATAAGCATTAATGGATAACCTAGAATAAACAGTAACTACCCAGCTATAACAGGTTAAATTATAATGACTGATGGTGTAAATGTTTTTATAGCTAGTGCATATAACTTAAATACATATTGAAATAGTTGTTTGAAGTGTATTTCAAGTGAAGTTTTTCAAATCTTCAATTTTCATGAATTTTCTTTTTAAGTGAATTTCATGTCCAAACATAATTTTAACTTTCACAAACTTTGAGTGGAATATTGAAAGAGTTTAAGGTCTATACAATAACGGTCTAAAAAATATTTACACCCGTCAAATCACTTAAAATATAGTTGCAGGCAACTCTATTTAATAATTATTGATGGAGACCCAAGGGTATGGCCTAGGGGTCAATGAAGTGGGTTGAGAACCATGAAATTCAAATTCAAATCTCAGTGGAGGCAAAAATACTAGGTAATTTCTTCCTATCTATCCAAGCCTTCGTGGACAGAGTTACCTGGTACTTCTTGCTGGTGGGAGGTAGCAGGTATCATGTTGAATTAGTCGAGATACACGCAAGCTGGTCCAGACACCATTATAAAAATAAAAATAAAAATCATTGACGGATAACCTAGAATAAGTAACCACCTATAACAGGTTAAATTACACTGATGGTGTAAAAAAACATTTACCGGCAGTGCATAATTCACATTGAAATAGTTGTTTGAAGTGTATTTCAGTTGAAGTTTTTCAAACTTTCAGTCACCAATTTTCAACTTTTATGAATATTTTGCTATGTAAAGATCATCTCTGAACATAATTTCAACTGGATTTAAGTTATATAAAGTGATAGTGTAATGAATTTTTTACACTATCAGTATAATTTAACAAGTTATTATAGGTTAATTATCATTTATATCAGATTACCGCTCAACGTTATTAAGTAGAATTTCCTGCAGTAAGTGACCTGACTGCGTAAATATATAATTTAAACGCATTTCAGCTTCCACATACTTTTTTCCACTTATACTCAAAATTTGTCCAAACGCATGCTTAATAGTCACTATCAACAGATTAAGAAACAATTTGAGATAAAAATAAGGATATCTTAATCACCAGGTTTAACAACATGACGATTCGTGAGTATAATTCCGCGACGCTTATCAACAACGAAGCCCGTAGCGGAACTGACACCGGCAGATTCGGTATCGAAAGCTCGGCAAGCGGTGGTTCTGAGCACGACGACGGCAGGAACTACTTTGCCAAGCGCCTTTCGCCAATCTTCTGCCGTAGCGAGGCTGTTCTCCTTGAACGGAGGAGGATCAATGTCCATACACAAATCCTCCATTATACTAGACTATATTCTGGTCTTAATTCTCCCTCCGATCACAAACTTTCCGGCTAAAAAGAACGGAGAGTGATTATTCCGGCGACAGCGGACTGGGAGAGAGAAATGCGAGAAAATTGGCGGCGTCTGCGAAGTTGAGTTGGCGTTGACACTCTGTTGAGGGGCCCTTCACTCGTGTGGAAAAAGAGCTAAACTTTTGACGACAGTGGGAAGACTTTTATTTGCACAATTAGCTCATATAAAACTCTAATTACACGTAATTGAAACAAAGCTTACCTATGATTAACTTAAACTAATAAAACAAGGGAGTATAACTATTGATTAGTTACTTGCCCCAAAGCTTGGGTCTATTGTTAAAACATAATGCGTGATGTGTGGGTTAAGGTTAAGGACACGTCACAAGATTCGACTCATATATGGAGAGTCGGATTCAGAATTTAAACTTTATGGATTTAATCTTTATAATTTTTAGTATTGAACCCATTATTTTTTAAAAGTTATGGGTTTATATCTACTGTCTGTTGTAATTTTAGTGAATTTTTACTCATAAAATTCTACTCTGTACTAAAAGTACTGGGTTCAGAAATTCGGTGACAGTGATCTACGTCCGCCCTGCATATATGTGATTTGACTATGGAAATGGATGCACATCAAGGGGTTTAATTCAATCATATTTGTATTATTTTAATTATCTGTAAATAATTTTAGTGATACTATCATTAGAAAACTCACTTTAGTATTTTTTGGAAAATTGTGAATTTTAAGCATTAGAGGAAAACGATAAAAACTGAAGAATATGCAACAACAAAAAAATAGCAAAAGAGAGGATTTGATTATTAAAGATGATTTTTTGAAGTTAAATGAGTATAAATAATGACATTTAAGCAATAAATATCCAAAATTTTATTTTGGAGCAATAATTTCGATCAAGAAATACATGACTCAATTAGAACAAAGTAACATGTTTCTAGTAAAATTGTGGGGCTTGAGAATAATTTTCAACAGTTTCAAACGATTTATCATTAGAATTTTTAATGCAAAATTATGACATTTTAATTAAAATCGCACAGTATAGAATTTTATGTCCCGTTACAACGGACTCAACCACTCAAGTTACCTATTGCGACCGGTATGATCCATGTCACAACGGAAAGGTATCTAAAGCTCGGTGGCAGTCTATAAAACCGCGAAGGGCCAAATATACCTCTATATTTTCGAAAATGATCTAAAAATACTCATCGTTATACTATTGGGTTATCTATATCCCTACGGTCATACTTTGGGTTCAAATATACCCCTCATTTAAACGGAGGGATATGTGTCATCGTCATGTTAGTCAATTATAAATATCTCCTAATTAATTAAAAAGACTCGTTACTCATACCCGAAAAATAATTAATTTTTTTTTGTAAAAACTGGATCCTAGTCACGTGTCCCTCCTTTTTCTTCTCTTTTCTCTTCCAGAATATTGTTCTCTCTTCTTCTTTTTTTCTTTTTTTTTTTCGTAGTCATGCTGGATCCTAGTTTATTTTAATTGGTTCATAAATCGTAATAGAGTAATTTCTTTGTTGAAAATATCAAGCATCGTGTTTGTTTATTTATTTGTGATTTAATTATTCAAATACTTGCGTCTGATTTATATGTTTATACTTATTACTTTTGTTATACAATTTTTAGTCATGAGAAAAAAAATTAATATAACACGTTATATTAAATTTCGAAGAGATTCATATTCGTATATAATGATGGCAACAAGTACTTGATCTCCATGCATATTATGATTTATTATATATTTGAGAGGAGTATAGTATTTAAAAAGTAATTATATTCGAAAGAAGCAATTAAATAATTTACATACATAGTATGATTTATTATATTTTCTTGACGGGTATTGTTTATAAATTATAGTATGAATTAAGTAAATTCGAAACAAGTTATTAATTTAATTATGCTTTATAGAAGGAATCTTATCTTTAAAAAAAAATAACAAGTGAAGTCAAATTTAATGTCATATTAACTTTATTTTTCATCATACAATTTTTCATTCATTTGATTCTCTCGCATAATAATCAAGACTATATAAATTGCATCTCAGATGAATCAATCTTATAGGACCTATACTTAAACTATAACATAATTTGACAGAAAACGAGTTTAACTGATCTTACATATTTCGGTTTATCAGCATTTTATGTTTTGAATCCTTTCGGAGAAAAATAGAGAGATGGACTCATTATCAACTAGTTTCCAAATGTGCTTTGTTAACCCTTGAATATTTCTCATATATTAGAAAACTATTGATTATTAATCTCTAGTTTTAAAAAAAATATAGAGTCTCAACATTTATAACTAAATTTCAAATTCTAATAAAGTAAACTAGATAAATTCTTAGTTAAGATTATTGAGCAAAATTAGTAGAAGCGCATGTGCTGATAAATGATTACAGCACATCTGAATTGTTTAATCCAAGTAAACAAATAACTATCTATAGTATTTTCTTTTCTTAGTACGATTTCATTATATTTTTTTTCTTTTGTGTACAGCCAAGACTCGCGTCTATTTTTCTAAAATTAAATAATTACCTAAAATCGAAATGCCATGCTACATGACAATATGATTATTGTTGGCATGGTTTTGTCCGTTTGGATTTAAGTTTGCGAACTTCTTTTTTTTCTTTTTTATTCAGAAATAGTTGTATGGCAATGTGGATCCACGTCAACACATTTGTCAGAAAATTCATTTGAATCGATCTGTTATAGAATAAGAGAATATCCAATAAGAATAAAATGTCACCCTTGGCTTGAATAATAAAATAGTGGTGTTCGACTAAAGGTTCTGCTTTTGCCTTCAATGACAATTTTGTCGCAGGTTAATTTTTAGAATATGATTTACATACACCATACTCGAGAGATTTAATTCTTAAGATCCAATTGTCTTTTTTTGGTAGAAGTTACATGACAAATAAGGGCAATAAATCAAGGAAACTATTAGAGAAAATATAAATAGCACAAATATCCAATCAATTTTCATGCGTGTTATGATTAAACATTCAAAATTTGTAATTGTATGAGAAATGTGTTACTCTCTTTTCTTTTTTTTTTGAATTATACTAGCGATTGAGGTATTTTAATAGATGTTGATTTATCCTTTTAATTTGAAAAAAGATCAAATAAATTATACTTAAAATTAATTTTTTGAGTTGTAAATTTTCTTTCTTTAACTTTTTTTTTTTTTGAGATAGGAGCAGAGTAATAAATAGTGATGAAAGAAAAGGAAAACTGGAGGGCAATGAGTGAGAATTGCAGGGACGAGTGTATAAATCCTTCTTATACCAAAGTTGTTTTCTATGTGAAAACAAATTTAAGAAATCAAAATTCATATTGGATAAATGAAATCATCTAACATCCATTGGAAAAAACAGGAGGAAAGTTCTCAGTTGCACAAGAGTCTTGTTTGGAATTTGATGCAAACGAAGCAGCAATTATCATACGGCTCACCAATTATTAGATACGTCTGCGAGTATCTGATTAACATATTTCAGACAAACATCACCTTATTAAACTCGTCTACTTCAACTCCAAAATGTTAGCCGATGAAATGAAGGCGTGCGGACAGGTGGAATCGGACCTTCCCACAGCTGATTTATTTGATCTCAGTATTGTTTAGCTGTAAAACAGTAGTACAATTGAATTTGTAACGTGGTTTTACATATACGTGAATTAATTTGATCCAAAAATATAAAATAAACAAGAACAAAAGTAAGATTATAAAATAAATTTAAAAACACAAGTCTGGATATGAACTTAATCTCTTCAGTAACAGAAGTGAGAACAATATTCAAGAAAAAAGATAAAGAATAGTATTGTAAGATGATAGCTGATTTAAGCTTTTGTGTACAAAATATTTCGTGTTTACAATGGATGCTAATTGTCGTATTTATAGCTTTCTTGACTACTTTACCAAAATATGGGTAATGTCACGCACCAATAAGGCCATAACACGTGTCATTAGTATAAAATAACTATCTAAAATTACACACATACCCTCGTCTTCTTCAACCCCATCTCTTTCCCCTCCATCTCGTCCTCCATGGACCAACAGAAAAATCAGCACACACAATTCAACCCAAAATTTAGGAGCCCAAGTGATTTAATCCGAGAAAGAAATAAAAGGCATCAAAAGCTAATAAGCCATGGATCACTAAATTGCATACCAGCAAATAAATTGGTGATTTGATTTTCAATTTTAACAATCTCTTCCTCCTAATATCCCTCGATATCTTCTTGTTCCTTTCATCTAAATATCTAAAATTTTAATTTTCACTTTTCCATACTTGTGCATCCCTCTTCCTAGATTTTAGATACTATACAAAAAGAAATCACAGGAAACGAAGATAGCAACACCGACATTGATGGATTTGCAGGAGAATATCACAAGTAATGGAAGAAAAAAGATAAAAGTGACAACTGGGTTGTTGATGTTCTTGATCAATTTGGTAAAATGTATGACATTAGTTCTATATTTACTTTAACTGTTAGATAGTAACTAATAGGTTAATAAACTCAAATTTGACGAAGTAATTGTAGATGGTTCGTAGAAAGGCCAGAATCGATATTAGAAATGGAAAATAAATGTGGTGAAGATAGGGAGAGATGGAGGAAAAAATAAGATTCTTGAACATGGTATGGAGGGAGAATTTGGCTGGCGAAACAAACGAAGAGAGAGACAGAGATGGGCGGGGAAGACGAGGGATTTGCTGACACGTGGCATAAATAAGTATTTAGATAATATTTTTATCTGATAGACGCGCTTCTGTCCTGTGTTTTACACATGTTGAGTCCTAGTCAAAAATGTGTGTATTAGACACACTTTTAAAAGGTTAAGTGTGTAATATTATTTTTGCTCACATAAAATGTGTAACATGGATTTGGCCCATATTTCAAGTGTCAACTTATGTATTTTGCATGCATATATATATNAAGTTCAATACTAAAACTTTAAAAATTTAACTCATCAATTTGAAATCTTGAATCTGCCTTTGATTGCAAATCACTTATAAACAATCTAGGCTTATCCTCTCTTGTTCAAAGTGGGATTGCCCAATCCAAATTCGTAGCACCTCGCTGCCATCTTGCTACCGGACTCTACTACTCTCTCATGACTAGGGGTGTTCGTCGGTACGATATGGTGTTTAAATATTTC